TTATCCTCGTATGGATGAGTAATGAATCTTTCCTTCGAGTCGGTCTACTTTCAAATCGATATTACAGTATAAAATTAATTAATTCTTTAACATTTTTTCCAAAATAATACCCACCGACCACCATTCTTACTAAAAAACAGGATTAACCTGATCACAATAAGTAGCATTTTGAAATAGACAAAAAATATATAAATATTTTATATTTTTTACCTATTTCACTTGAAATCTGAGCAACGTCGTAAAATCTTTACTAATTGAATCAGCGTTAATTTCTTATTATCGGATTAACCTAAGAGGATTAATCCAATAAAATTTTAACACGAAGATACGAGATATATGAGATTTTATTTTTGTAAAGATGGGTGTAAATTATTTGTAAAGGAATTTAACTACTTTAAGCAGTTATGGAAGCTCAGGGGCTAAGTGCTGGCTGTAAACTTTACAATACGCAAGCAACCCGGGTTCAATCCCAGCCGGCGCTAAATGAAATTATTAATTGTAATTTTAAGTGCTAAATAAGTGGTAATTCATAAGCTAAACGATCAGGGATCGTTAATTTCAAAGATGAGTGAAGTCTACCAACACACATGTATGCATTTCGAAATCGAGCGTGCTTGTAGGAATATGAAACATATCGTCTAAAGTTAAAATTCTCTCTCTACATATTCTTACGTTTTTTTTTTAATTAATAATATTGATTAGGAATAATTTTTCAAATTTTTGGTCCGGGTTAGTAAAAATTATTATAGCAAGGTATTTTACAGAAAAAACATTCACAATAGTTTAAGAAGCTACGATTTCTAAACAACTTTCTTTTGAGAATAAAGTAAACTCATAAGTTATCCAAAATTCCTGCGTTTTGAAGAAAAGATACGATAAACTATTAAACAATCGATTTAAATATGAGTATAAATGAATTGTGGTATATTTTAATGGTGAAGAGTTTATAATAGAACGCATTTTTGAGTTAGTAAACACTAAATGACATTGATCAAGGTGCCATTCCTAGCTCATTTCTATTTAATTTATTTACTTTAGGTTAGGTGTTTTTCTATGACATCGCCGTTTAAGTACTTTTTTCTATACTTTGTATATCTATTATATCGTGTATTATACTGTGTAGTGGCGGTTGAGAATATCCACTACCCCATATCATCCCCTGGGTGTCGTAAGAGGTGACAGAGGGGAACAACGCGGGAGATGGGTAGCAGCGTCTTTCTAATAACAGTTAAAAATAAAAAAACGCGGTTGCCAACCCGCTTGCCGAGCATGGCAAGCTGATAACTGTGGCAAATATCCTCCCTATATGGCAATATACGGGGCAGGCCTATGTTCAGCAGTGGAATTTAATAGGCTGTAACGGTAAAGATTTATTTCTATTAACCAAAATATGATTACTTATGCAATCGATGCATCTTTGCCAACGCAGTAGCAGCTTACTGCAAGAAGGGCCGAAACCAGCTGGACTGGAGGCAAACAATTCCTCAAAGGCATTTTGTACTGGCTTTCGGGTATTGAATTGATTTACCGCCAAAAGTTAAACAAATTCTGGAAAAAGTAGATATCTCTAGGCGCAAGGTCTGGTGCGTGCGGCGGATCACGGAGAGCAATCCAACCCCAGCTCTTGTTACTTGGAGACCATGTATTGTACAGTACGAGGTCGCTCGTTGTCGTGCAGGCACAAGCGATTGACCAAAGCTGGTTAAAGACGTGCGAGCTTCCCTATCATTGTGTTCAGGTCTTTGCAGTACACATTTGCAGTAACGTTCATCCAATTTGATAAGAAGCTGTGATAAATCACAACGGCGCCAAACCAGTAAACAGTGACCATAACTTTTCTAGGGGTAAGTTTTCGTTTAGAGCATTGTTTAGGTGCTGAACCACGATCCAACCAACTTGCTGAGCACTTGCGATTGTCAAATAGAATCTCTTTTTAGTCGCAGGTAACAATGCTGTTAAGAGTCCCTTTATTTGTGTGCCTGTTGACCAGTGCAAGCTACATCTCGACGCGTACTTCGCGCTGGCGACCATTGAGTTCATGAGGCACCTGTGGCGGCGCTGTCGTCGCGCCACAAGCGAAATACACCGATGTCTAAATCACGCTATCAAAATTCCGAATCATAAACAGTATATATAGAACATCTCCGAACTATCACACGGAGCGTTGGCCGCTCCCCGGGCAGAACACCTTGCCCGGCGGGAGATCTCCCCTTTTCCATCTATGGCCACAGTGGTGACCCCGACGTGATCTGAACACGCAACCAAACAACCTTCGGAAACTTCAAGCTTCATCATCGTCATAGAATACCTCACCCATTCGCTCCCGAGCAGATATCGTCTGCAGTCTTCATATCCTGCAAGCCATCTAGCTTCACAAGGTTCATCGCAGCATTGGAATAATAATGCTTCCTGTTCCTTCAAGCTACTCTCTGCGCTATACAGTGTTTGGCACGGCTCTGAGCCTTACTGCTCGCCTCTGCTTCACGGCACTCTCGCAGATTACTTGCCTTCTTCTCGACTCACCGCAGACTACAAGGCAATCTCCTGGCACTTGCACATTCGTCGACAACTCGACTGCACTATCGACCTCCGGTCTGAGCAGGGGGGTGATGTGGCGGCGCTGTCGTCGCGCCACAAGCGAAATACACCGAAGCCTAAATTACGCTATCAAATTCCGAATCATAAACAGCATATATAGAACATCTCCGAACTATCACACGGAGCGTTGGCCGCTCCCCGGGCAGAACATCTTGCCCGGCGGGAGATCTCCCCTTTTCCATCTATGGCCACACACCCATTTGTCAAGCTTTTTCACCATGACAATTTGGCACAAGTAGAATATTGTTATGATGTTAACGTCGAAAGATATATATATATATATATATATATATATATATATATATATATATAACGCCAACTGCCAAACGTGATGCTTCCACAAAATCTTGCTTATAACGGGAATGACGCGTGTCCAGCAGTAGACTTTTAAAAACTGATGATGAAGAAGGAAAAAAAAGTATGGTGACTAAACTCTAAAAGATGAGTTTAATTGTAGATAAAAACGATCTTGTAGGCTTATATTTTGAAAATACTTATTATAGACCACTGCTTGACTTCACTTGAATCACACCCGATCCTCAAAGACCTTATGTTCAGTTATGCTCCTCTAAAGCGCAGCAAGCACGTCCAGAGCCTCCTGCATCTATCGACTTCCTGCATTTCCTATCGGGTTATGACTCCATCTTGTGAGAGCAAGCCCTACGATTTGCTTACCGCCACGATACTGCCACTCAAAAACCTTTTTACCCATCAATTGTCAGTAAATTACTTTGCCTTAGTGTAATAAAAGCCTTTTCACCCTTACCATGAAGATACGCGGTGTAATTGGAGGGAAATTCAGAAAGAAATGTGGCAAACTAGTCAACTCCTTTGCTGCACGCATTACTATTAACGAAGAAAACCATTTAATTGTAGACGTTAATTATTGGAAATTCTTAAAAAATACAAAAATATGTACATAAAAACAGAATTTTATTTAAGAATCAACATTTATAATTACAATAGAATTTACCTTAAATACAATTTAAATCTATTTAATTCAAATCTTCACGAAGCGAGATTGCTTCAATGAGGTTTCTATTTGATATTTCATTTTGATTGGCAGGTATTACATTATTTAAAATTAATTTAAAATTACAAAAAGATATTTTGTATAACAATGACATTATTTGAATTTTGGCAATAATTCATTATAAGACCAGTCCGTTGGCTCAATGTAGTGAGTATAGATATATCTTTCCATTCTTTGAAAGGTCCACGCCCTACTTAAATATAGGTGGGCTTAAATATGAAAAGTGACTTATGATTTGTGACTTTGGGGGTGCATACTGACTAAGAGAACTCAGTATCAATCAGTACATTTATGATTTCTCTTTTATTCTAGGCTTTGAACATGGTACTTGTGTTTGGGTGAGAATTTTTCCTGACTTCTGACCACCCACCGTAAAACACGGACAATCCAAGTTAGATCACTGCCAGCACTAACTAAATTGTTAATTGCAATGATAAGTGACCATTTATCACGTGTTTAGCGGTGAAAGTAAACATTGTGAGGAAATCTCCATATAATAAATTCAATAAATATTTCAAGTATATTTTTGATGTCGCTAGCCCGCCGTGTAAGTTATAAAGCAGTTTACACGCTGCAATACGTGTTAAATTATTTATATTTCACATATTTTCAAAGTACTCCATTTCTCAGCTAGTATATGCCAATTGGTGTTAAGTCATCGCTTTATATCCAATCTTAAATGGAAATACAATAAAATTTTAAATAATTAAATAAATTATGCTGATTATTACATTATATTTTCTTTTAACGCTGAGGCTATGGTAAATTAACACGATTAAAATTTATAGACAATTTCATTGGTAACTTGCTTATTTACAATTAACAAGGTGTCACGTTTTTTAGATACATCGAATAAAATTTACGAGAAGCACGATTGATGATGGATGCATGACGATTATAATAGAAAATATATAATAACACTTAGTAACGTATTACAATCATTTGAAATCAGCGAATAAAAACCTCTTGCCAATATCTTACTTCCATCTCTATTACATCATAAAATAGGACATTATATACTGATATGGAAGAATTCATCTATCAGTAGCCACGGATGTAAAAAATATGGACGTGGTGTTTCATTAAAAATGTATGAAGCACCGTAGGTCCTACAATTTTGTTTGATACACGCAAACAAATACATCAAGTGCCAATTCTCATTTGTGTGTATGTGTGTATCTCGCGTATTAGAAGCAAAGTTGTAAGACTTAGGGCGCTTTATACATTTTTAGCTTTATATCATTAAGTTCGCATATTTTTCCGTCCATGTTGGTAGCCTTAATATTAAAATTCATTGGCAATTTCTTGGAATTTACAATGTAGTCTTTGGATGATTTATTTACAGGACGCATTTTTTCGAGTCTTCTTGTTATCTCAGTGGAATCTGTAACAAAAAAAACCTGCTATGTTATTTGTTGTAAATAGTTAATTTAAGAGGTAATATTGCTTTTTACAAGTCTCTTGACATTAAAGTGTGAATAATGATTTCATAAATTTACATGAATACAGCACATTGAATCAAAATTATTTTACGGATTTTATGGTGTTTCATTTAAAAAAAAAACTACTGATGTATTGAGTACAAAATATATAAATCCTGATTCGTAGTTAACGAAGGCTACCTTTAATTTTTAACCTACTCAATCGCGCCCGTGTCTGTGAAGGTATACAAATCGTAGAGAATTAAAAAAAGCGCGATAAAATCCGTAAAATTATTTTATTAGTTATTTTTTATATTTATTACCGGTCCGGTTTTCGCTTTTTTTTTGGGCAAAAAGGTTACTTTTACTCTGTTTCCATCATTTTCATAATATTGATTTTATTAATTCATTTTGTTTATCATTTACGATTTTGTTTCTTTACTAAACAAAATAAACAACACCGTATGAACAATTTAGTGTACTTTTGTTTTGATTTACTGTGAATTGCTTATCTTTTATGAATTTTATTATAAATTGTAAGAAGTACCACATCGTCGTGAGAGAGATGTTGACTGTAGGGTTCCGAAGCGTGGCCCTCGCTGTGGATATCTCGAAGAGTATAGCTTTTGCTGTCACTGGACTCCAACACTACACGCGGGGGCTCGCTCTCTATTAACAAAATAGTATTATTTAGGAAAGCCTCCTTAAGAAAAACTTCAACAATACTAATAACATCTTTTAATACTAGATTAAATAGATTAGATAGAGCCACTTTTCTGACTACAAACAGTTTCTCTTAACTACTTGTGCAAATAGGCAGTGCGTCCGCGGATTATGTCATATTATAAATTGTATTGATGTAATAAATACTATTTATAGAATGACAGCATCCACATACCATTAGGTGTTGAATGTGCTCGATTTTATCCCAACTGTTACTAAAAAAGTATTAATATTTTATGTAAGTTGGATCAAATATTATCGTACAAAATTTACTTCTTTTATTTATTCATTATACCGCCAAAAAGGGAGGAATATAGGCCTCATACGAGTAGATGCGAAGTTTGCCCTAGTAGCTATGTTTGGCAGGCACATTGATTAACTCTTATTATTTCCCTCATTTAGTTATTCACCATCATACATTAATATAAGTTTTGTTCTAAACATTTAAAAAGTAAAGAGAAAAGTTACAGCTTATATTCAACTGTTTCCTATTATATTTTAAGGGGGTAAAACCACATAAAAAATTAAAATTGTGACCATGATTTAGAGAACCGCTACGCACTTGCAGGAAAACTGAGATATCTGTTCAGATGTTATCTATTTTTTTTGTATAAGGGTGACAAACTAGAACACAGTCCACCTGGTGGTTAGTGGATGTTGTTTATCCTCGATTAAGAATCAAAATTGCGATGCGTTGTCACCTATGAAAGCTAAAATGGAATGCCTCGTTTCCAGTAAAAAGGGTCTCCGGTTCTCTACACTCACCATACGAAACACAGCAGCATTAAGGTGCTATTTTACGATTGATTCTAGCCTGTTCGAACCGACTCATTCGTGCTACAACCATATTATAGCTGCAGAGTGGCTCTGCCACGTATATACTTTTCTTTGTAAAATTTATTTATTTTTCAGGAAAAAAATAAGTGGCTTATAAAATGCAATGTCATAAATGGCATGATCGTGGTGACCTTAATTTCGATAATTTGTAATTTTTATTGCTCTGATTCGTAACTATTATACAGTAAGTCAGTAAATTTATTAACACCTTAGTCGCAACCTGCACAAGGTCAATCCGTATTAATTTGCTTCTTGCGTGTGTTTTGCCCGCAGTATACATTTCATAATTTATTTTAAAGCCAATCAGCCGTTTATTTTCTGCTTTTAATGCCTACCGCTACTGTTACCGTTACAGCCTGTTAAAGTCTACTGCTGAACATGGGCCTCCCCCATGAATTGACTCATAGGGGGGATATTTGCCATAGTTGTCAAGCTTTTTTATAGGATAGTGTGACAAACGAGCACACAGTCCACCTGATGGTAAATGGTTGGACATCTGTATCTATCCTCCATTACGAATCAAAATGCAGATGCATTTGAGGACTAAGATGGAATGCCTCGTTTCCAGTAAAAAGGGTCTCCGGTTCTCTACACTCATCATACGAAACACAGCAGCATTAAGCTACTATTTTACGCTGGTATACTGTGAGAGTGTGGTCCTTCACCGGTCGAGCCTAGAGTTCGTGCTACAACTATACTAATATAACTGCAGCATGGCTCTACCACGTAAAAGCAAGAGGGTTGGCAAAAACAGTTTTTTTTTAATTCTTTATTCATTTGCTAAAATAAAAGTAGCCTAAGCTACTTCTTATAATATCAGCTATCTGTCAGTGAAAGTTTAGTCTAAATTGATACAGCCGTTATGGAGATAAGCCGAAACAAACAGACAGACAGAAAGACAAAACATTTAAAAATCATATTTTTGTTGTAAGTACTGTATATAATTTCATATACATTTAGTAAAAAACTTATATTTTGACATTACAAATAGACATTCAATTGTTTTTATTTGTGTAGATACTAAATAAAATCATGCTTACCGGATTTTGGATTAAGAATATCTGGTTTTGTTTCCATCTTTTCAGCTGGCGCAGGGTAGGCAATTAAGAAACGTCTGCCGTTGGCATCCACTTGCACCACACTTTGAGAAGGCCTTTTGCTCGTTGAAGTCCTCTCGCTACGTCTAAACATAAAACGCAAAATATTAAATGTGAATGTTGTTTTATGATTTTTTCTGTTAGAAATTTAACGTAAAAAATTCTTCAAGTGGTAAAAAAATTCTTGTACAACCGACTTCAATAAAAATAAAATGAGAACATCATCAAAGTAATCGAAGTCAATTAAATATGCATTATTAAGGATAACTCAATATTATTACAATACTGTAATGTTCTCTTTGAAATTCTCAACTACTAGTCAGATCTTGATCAAATTTATATGGAACTACATGAGAAGCACCAACTTTCAAAACATCAAAATCGGTTCACCTAGGAAAAAGTTCTGAGTTGAATTGAGTACCTCCTCCTTTTTGATATCAGTTAAAATAAGAGAATATATCACTTTATTTGCCTTTGTAACTGCCTAAAGAGTAAATATTACTGATATACTCCAAGTATTTTACAATATTCATAAACGGTCAATCCTACTAGCAAAAGTGGTTGTTGCGATACAAATATCCTGCTTAGAGTCGTAAGGTCGGTCATTTTTCACATACGGCAATCCCAATTATTTAACTGAACTCACTTTATTGCTATTATATTTTAACACTTCCCTTAGTGACGAGGAAAAAAGTAAACACGCGTCGCTGATTTTTAGAAATGTCTTCTTTTTCAATTTTCCTTATTCTTCGCTCGTGGTTTAACGATCGCAAAATTAACGCATTAACAAACAATTTACAAACTAATAATTCAGGGCCTACTGAGAAAGTAATCTATTAAATTAAATCCGTTTTAAAATGTTTTTAGGAAGACGCTGCTGCCCGTCTTCCGGTTTGTTGCCTTCCGTCGCCTCTTACGACACTCACGGGAGGATATAGGGTAGTGGATATTCCTAAACCACCACTACACAGCGGCCTCACAGACTAATTTGAAAGAATAAAACGTGCTACATAAAGAAACTTAACTCAGTATTTCTATTACTATATAAGATAATATAAATAAATGTCACTACTATCAAAATATATTTACTGGTAACTTAAATATAAACTATGTCTAAATTACCTTTTCACAATAAGTACTACAATAGCTCCAATCGCAGTAAGAATAGCCGCTAATGCTGCACAAGCTGCTGCAGCTGGGAATCGTGAATCTGATCGAGTTGTGTTCTCTAAATAAACGTAAATGAATTATTACATTTTATGCTTTAGAATGAAATTACTACCGAAATTAAGATTAATTACTGTAATAAAGATATTAATAGTCACTTTGCAACCATCTGCTCAATTAAATACAATGACGTGTCTTACCTAGCTTGAAAAGCACCTCCCGCCCTCCCTCAATTGCCTGCACTAATCCCGTCACCACTACTCCCAACACCACTACTCCCAACACCACTATTCGAGGAAAGACACACCATCGACGATAATACAGTAGTGGTGGTGACGGGATTAGTGCATGCAATTGAAGGAAGGCGGGAGGTGCTCTTCAACCTAGGTAAGACACATCATTGTATTTAATTGAGCGGATGGTTTCAAAGTAACTATTAATATCTTTATTATAATGAATTTCTGCAAAGTAACACCCGATTCTATCAATTATTTTAATACTGTTATGTTTAAAGAAGATCTCTTTGAAATTCTCAATCTAAGATTTTACTAAAATTTAAACGAAACTGAACAAGTTTTGATTAGCAAGGACTTACCTGTTTGCTTTGCAGCATCTCTGTAAACTAGTTCTCGTAGAATTACGGGATCCGATGCACCTTTGTTATTCCGAGCTATTACAGCCAGTGTTTCGTCTTCTCTTAAAGTATCAAGCTCCAATAGGCTGATGTTCAACCACACAACTAAATCTAAAGGAAAGAACAGACACCAGTCTCTGAATTTTTGTGATTTAAAATCTTTATTCTCACTTGAAATAATTTAATACATTAATTAATTTAAGTGAGAGGATTAGTTTTTTTAGATGAGCGTATGTGCATGGTTAAGTAAAATAATAACGCCAAAAAGGGAACATCACTATACTATAAGCAATGTTTGATCATATAACATAGCATTATTTGTTTTAGGGCCAATTTTTTCAATACTCTCGTAAAATTTATTCACACTTTAGAATACAATCTAAACAAGTTAAAAATTGAAGTTGTATGAATAAAATTGTTGTTGTCAATTGTTTTACTCTTAAATTTAGTCAGATTATAATTTATTTGATAGATAACTTTTAACTGACGAGTGAAAAATCAGCCCTTAGTAGAATAAAGAATGACAAACAAACCCATTGTCACAATACTGCCACCATAAACACTCACATTCATACGAATAAGAATAAGAATCAAAATGCAGATGCCTTGTCACCAAGGAAAACTAAAACGAAATCCCTCTTAACCAATAAAAAGAGTTTTCAGTTCTCGTCACGATGACACTCTGTGTAAGCGTGTTCTTTTCCTGGCCAAGTTGACTCATTCATGCTGCCACCATAAATTAGCTACATTGTGCCTATATCGGCAATGCACAAATGTAATGGCACTTCTCGACTCTGGCTTCTTAACTTGCAATGAAATTGAGCCACCTGAAGCATCCTAATATGTGACATGAAATACTTAGTAACTTATTATTTTGGAAGCTTAAAGGTAAATTTAAAAAAAAACACTTATCATATCCTTTCAGACTTTCTCACCATTTTGTTCAGCAGTTACGTTGACCAACACTCTTCCAGTATCACCTAGAGCTTCTAAAGTGAAGTGCTGTGTAAGTCCACCATCGTATCCCGCCTGACATTGTACTGAGAGGTAGGTTTCACCATTCTTTATTATTCTCTTCGCAGTGCAATTTTTTGGTGGAGATGGACGGGCTGTTAAAAAGAGTTATATATTCAAAATGGGTTAAGAGCAATAATGGTAGATGCTCATAAACTATTTATAAATGTAGGCTCTAGTTTGCCTACACGTATACAATATGTAAGAAAGCCTTCACCCAATCCAGAAGGTGTAGAAAATATTTTAAAAGTTAAAATAACTAAACATGGAGGGACTTATGAAAGAACATAGACAAAAAATGAGGAAGTGGTGGGTTAGAATCAGCTATTTGACTATTGTGCTGAACCACTATTAACTTAATTACTTAGAATGGTTACTGTAGTTTTATGCCTGATTCTCTGATTTATGCAACAAAAGTTTCGTTAACTCTAACGATCGGTTATATTATTCGTTACATAAAAGGTATATATTTTTTTATATTATAAACTATTCATTACACAATATAGGATGACTTAGAATAAAAAAAACTTTAAACTGTTCATAAATAGTTAAATTGGGTATTTTAGTTTAAAATAAGTGGTAAAATTAAAAAGTGTACATCAAATTCAATATAATTAAAATAAGAACACCATCAATGTATTCAAAGTCAATTAAATACAAATTAATTAAGGATAACTCAAGAAATACTTGTCAGGTATTGATCTTAATTACGATAGAATGGTTACTGTAGTTTTATGCCTGATTCTCTGATTTATGCAACAAAAGTTTCGTTAACTCTAACGATCGGTTATATTATTCGTTACATAAAAGGTATATAAATTTTTTTTATATTACAAACTATTCATTATACAACATAGGATGACTTAGAATAAAACAAAACCTTAAACTGTTCATAAATAGTTAAATTGGGTATTTTAGTTTAAAATAAGTGGTAAAATTAAAAAAGTGTACATCAAATTCAATATAATTAAAATAAGAACACCATTAATGTATTCAAAGTCAATTAAATACGAATACATTAAGGATAACTCAAAAAATACTTGTCAGGTATTGATCTTTATACGAGACCACACGAAAAGCACAAGCTTTCAGATAAAAAAAATCTTCAAAATCGATACACCCAGAAAACGGTCTGAGGTAACATACATAAAAAAACATACGGTCAAATTGAATAACTCCTCCTTTTTGAAATCGGTTAAAAAGAGATTTTCGTGGACTTCAATTAGTGCAAAACGTCTCGTAAAAGAAAATGAAGAATTTTTGAATACTGAAACCCGGTATTAGTTATGTTAATAGCGTTAATAGTTTTTTTTAATAAGCAGTTTTTAACTATTCTTAAATGTTAACTAATTCAATTTATTATTTCTAAAGTAATAGCTCGATTGCAGTATCACTAAACAAATATGACTATAATAAATAAATACTAAATTATTATATAAATATCTTCGGGAAACAATTTCCACGTTATTGGTTTTACGTCACATGCTATTAAGAGATAATGTAAAGCGATTGTTTATAGCTACCGCTAGTACTGAGTAGATAATTTTGGTAATAAATTGAGCAATAAACTATTAACCAGTTTTACGGCATTTTTAATAATAATGCTCTATAGTCCGAATATCGGTCAGGGAGGCCTGTCTCAACGGAGACTACAGGTACTCTCTATTTCTAGAGTCCCTGGATGGTTGGATTATAATGGATATACTTTCTTTTTCTATATAATTATGATAAAAATAGGAATTAGGTCTGAACTTGAAAAGACTTGCGATGGTGGTGTTTATGACGATAAATATAAATTGAAAATTATGTAAGTTACAAAACTTGCGATAATAATAAAATTGTGCACATTTAAAATATTCTTCAAATGAGACTTTCGCATATTCCCATACAAAAGGATCAGTAGAAAGTTGAACACAGTAAGTTTTCTCGTTACCCATTCCATATTGGCCGCAGACGTGATTGCTCCGAGTCTGAAACTTCGTCCGTATTTTAAAACGTATTCCGCAAATTTTACTGGTGCACGAAATTTGATCCGAGTATATCGGAATATTTTAATGAAGTTTCAAAATTATTAATTTGCTTATCGGCTGTGACAAATTTTATAGTGTACAGAATTAAACTACGTTGTGCTCTTGTTTAAAATATTTTTAACTATTTTGAAGAATTATTACTAGAACAGGCCGTTCACACATCGTCGTATGCTGTATCGAGTAATCAAGAATTATTTTATGGGCTCATGAATGCCTTTAAGCGTTTTCAATTGTTAACGAATAGTGACTGACCGTGAATCAATAAATGACATTAATTTCTTTAGCGGAATTTTATACGTTTAACTAACTTATTTTATATTCTACATGTTTAAGTACTTTGCATTACTCATGGTCTCACGGGGGAGGGGGGAGGGATGAGGTGTTAGATGTGCCAACATTTAATTAAGCACGACTACCTTCAAATTTAAATTATTAAGTTTTGGTCCGATCTACGCAGTATGAACTTATAGTATCTTGAAGTTTGGCAGTTGTGTGTTTGGATAGGGATTTAATTTTATTAATTTTGTTGGACGATTCGATGGTGCGGGGGCTTAGGAATGAGTTGCAGCGCTTGGGCCCACGGGTTCGAATCCCGCACGCACTGAACAAGTATTTTTATAGCCTATATGTAATTATTATGTGTCTGGATGTTAGTCCTTGTTCAATTAATGCTTGTAAATTGCCCCTACGATACATGTTTATAAAAAAAAAACAGGATCCCAAGCAGGTGGTAGCACCCAGCCATCTTCTCTATAAAATTATGTTTTTTTTTCAATAGTCTCGCGAATCATCCTTTGCAGGAATCGATGTTCTTTTGCGAGGATTTTTGGTCTTTCGGATCTGGTGTAGTAGCGGGAGTGACCCTGTAATAGTCCACAGGCTACCATAAGATGAAGTAACTGCATTCTTAGACCATGTTAACTCCGTAAATTTTAAAATTCAGTTCACAATGGTTGGTTTGCAAATAATACCTTTATAAGTAGATATTAAGTAAGGAATAATACTTACCAGCTGGTACAATCTGAAAGACACACGGTTTTTGCTGTCGACCGACGGCGTTGGACGCTCTGCACAGTAACGCACCGTAGTCTCTCTCGCTAGCCGCTCGATATCGCAACTCACTGGCCGTGCCACCTGTCGAAACTACAACAGGGATATTACAAACTTTGTGCAAATATCTGAAAGTTTAATTGAGCTGTAGTAGCCGAGGGACTAAACGCTTGCTGCAATTTTCAACCCCGGTTGAATTCCCACGGCACCAATGAAATTCGTAATTGCAATTTCAAGTGCTCATTTTTCACGTGCTCGGCGTTAAAAGAAAACATCTTGAAGAAACCTTACGTCTGAAAAATAAAAATAATATCTAGAAGAAATGTGAAATCCTCTAACACGCACTAAGGCAGCGTGGTGTATACTTCCTTATCTTAAAACTCTCTCAGAAATGAGATGGGGCCTGTGCTTAGAATGTATACAACTTAACTTTTCGTTGAATTTTTCAAATCATAAAATACTATAAATATTGGAAGTATTCAATTGTGGTTTTTGGAGTAGACAAGTTTTAAAAGAGCAAAATGCAACGAACTAATCTACCTAATTATTATTTTTAATTACTGTATACATCATTGTAAAAATATTGTATTTTTCTGCCACTCATTTGTTGTTAAACGTTAAATTTAAAGCCTATTTACGTCCCACTGCTGGGCACAGGCCTCCTCTCATTTCTCAGAGGGTTTTAGGGCAAGGAAGTGTCAGCCGCGCTGCCCCAATGCATGTTGGCGAACTTCACATGTCTTCAAAATATTTTTTTTTTATTTTTTTATTTTTAGTGATACAGGTTTCATCACGATGTTTTCATTCACCGCCAAGCACGTGGTAAATCAACTGGAGCCGTGGTAACTCGTACTCGTAGGTTAGCGCTCGCTGTAAAGTCACACTACGCGAGCAAGCTGGGTTCTATCCCCACCAGCACCAATGAAATTGATCTTTTGTTCTATTACCATAAAATTATCAATTTCTCCGTGTATGTCTAGGAGTCTTAGACTTATAGATTCCATGCTTATGTGGGACTTATAACATGAAATGTTCCAACTATATTACTTGTCTAGTATAAGGAAACAAATGGAATATTGGGATAATTGTGGTTATATAGGCGATTAACTATTTTTGCTAAGATAGTCTGAGAAACTCGATGCTCTTTGAACTCTGCAAACCCTCGAAAAATTCAGAAGTGACGCTATGTTATGTTGTTATCGATTTTAGTTTGTTATTATTTTATCAAAATAGCATAAAAATTATTACTGATTATCGGCAACAATCCGAGATTATTGGGCAAAATTAGAAGAAAGATTAAAAGACGCCGTTTGGGAAGTTTGAAAAATCACTGAAACTATTTTTATAAAATTCATTTTAAATCAAATAGAAAGTTGTTCCATAGTTACCATATCTAGCGGGAGACACTTGAAAACTCTCTCCGCTGTTGTTAAATTGCCAATAGAAACTGACTTCCGCAGGATCCGCGGTAACCGTACAACGGACGCGGAGGGATTCGTCCAGTCTCGCACCAATTAATAGTGTCGAGGGTTGCTCACAGACGGGCGCATCTATAAAAATGTCATTAACATAAATATCTTTATAACTTAACTTAACTGGGGGTTAAGTCAATTGCGTCCGTAGGCTTCGACCACCTAATCCTAGGCCCACCCTACACGTGTCCCCCAGGTGGTGCTAAACGAGCGACAAGCCGTAAGTACAGGCTCGGCTACCCGCCGTGTGGTAGCGGCGTTAAATATACCACCTCACAGTTTCGAACTATGACGCAACAAAGGAAAGAAATGACCCCGAGTTCCCAGCGCTCCTTTAATGGGGTAGGGATGCGAAGAATCTCCGGGAGGAAAACCGGCAACGATGTTCGCTACTCGTCACGTTCTGTTACCCGGATAGGCGAAAAGTGGATAGCGGAAGCCCGTCTGTCTACGGGCTACGCTAAATATATGTGGAGCAATTAATGATAAGATGGATGAAGCATGCGATATGTTGTATGATAGAGGAAAAGATGTGCTATATGTAAATGAGACGAAACGGAAGGGAAGGGATGTCACTACTCATGGTATGTATACCGCGTACTGGTCTGGTGTAGACGAGACCGAGCGGGCATGCCAGGGAGTCGGTATAATCCTTTCAGAAAGAATAAGTCAATGTGTGAAAGAGTATGAATGTGTAAGCCCGAGACTGCTATGGTTACGAATGAAAGTGGGCTTAAAGAAGATGTTTGTGCTACGGGTCTACGCCCCGGACGTGTCTAAGCCCACTTACATCCGAGAGCAGTTTTGGGAGATGGTAAGGATGTGTTAATTTAAAGTAAGAGAAATGAAAATATTGTTATGTTAGGAGATTTTATTGGAAAGTTTGGGGTGAAGAGGATTGGTTATGAAAGGATGAAAATGGTGAAAGCCGGTGAGGAGGCGTTCACCATTTTCATTTATACTTATATGTGTGGAAAAGAATCTTTTTATGACGAACACTTTCATTATAAGATTCACATGTATACATGGGAAAGAGGTGATGATAAAAGCATGATAGATTTTATAATTGTGGAAGAAAGAATGAGGATCGCAGTGGTAGATACAAGGGTTTACCGGGAGTCCAACGAAGGAACGGATCATTACCTGGTTTTATGCCGAATTAATGGTCTTGAATGAAGTCAAGCATAGTTACCATTGTGGTTGACATCCAAGCAATTTTTGGGTTAATTGGAAGACAATATAATTAAAAGATTAAAGTGGCGCTGATAAATTATGATTATTTATATCAACACAAATAATTTATATTCAACACAGAGGACTAGCTGAATGTCCTGAATTAAAAATAAGAAGAAATCAATGTGAATTATTCACCCAAATATAAGAAATAAAGTAGCCGTTTTTAAAAATATCTTTCAGATGAAAGTTGTATTGACTTTAGCCTATTTAGTCGAAGAGACAATCCTCCAGTTCATTATTATGAAAAAATACACAAAATTTGTTTGTTAAGTCTAACACTATAGGTGATTATAACTTGTTAGATATATTGTTATGTTTACATTATGTAAAAAAATTGTATTTAGATAACGATTTCTTTTCAAGTTTTTCTAGAGAGGTCTCATACCTGAGATCGTCGCCTGTGTACTCAATATACATTTATAAATTAAAAAATAGTTTTATTAAAATATTACAAGGAAAATATATCCTACAGATTTTATTAAAAGAGTTAGTACTGTAAGAGGTAACTCACACTGCACTCTGAGATATACAGCTTGACTACTAGATTCTCCAATCTGATTTGCTGCTCTACAAGTATACAGCCCTGCATCCCTTCTCATTACCCTCTGCAATACAAGAGATTTCGTGCTAATGAAGACACCTGACGACATGTTTTGAATGACTTGTTGATCCTGAAAAGAAATTAATTGATAAGAACACTCATTAGCTTTACCTATAATGCCACTTCCACCAACTTTTGGACGTCCGAATAATCTGATGTTATACATACGTACTAGGAACCGATAACGATAAAATAATTTCATGACTACGTCTTAGTAATCCTCATTACAGGTGATGAGAATGCATGTTGTTTAAGTTATTTTAAACGCTAATATATTTTTTTATAGAATAAAGGTTAAAAACGTGCACACTTTTCATCTGATGGTAAGTGGATGCTGTGGTCCATATATTTATTCTCGATTAAGAATGAAAATGCAGATGCGTTGTCACCCCTGAGAACTAAGTAATGCCTCATTTCCAGTTAAAAGGGTTCTCTACACTCACCATACGAAACGCAGCAACATAAGGCTGCTATTTTACGCTGGTATTCTGTGAGAACGATGTCCTACGCCGGTCGAGCCGACCCATTCGTTCCACAACTAATATACCTACAGCATGGCTCTATCAATAAATATAACAGAACGCGAGTAACTCGGGCTTAATCCTTGCACCGGCTAAATCCCGGCACCATTAAAATTGTTAATTGCAATTTTAATTGCTGATTTACCACGTGATCGGCGGTGAAGGAAAACATCGTGAGGAAACCTGCATGTCTGAGGAATAAGAAAAAAATATTTCAAAGAGATGTGAAGCCAACACGCATTGAGGCAGCGCGGCGGACATTTCCTTGCCCTAATACCCTCTCAGAAATGAGGGGAGGCCTGTGCCCTGCAGTGGGACGTATATATAGGCTGTATCTTTACTTTATGGCTCTACGCATAACAATGTAACTAAAAAAAATTCTCCGGTGCACAAGTGCACAGCTGAATTCTCTATTCTCTTACTTTCACATTAGGAGGCGATGACAACCCTTTATGACCAGAAAGAAATCAGGCGCAGGGCCAACAGCCTTAACTTGCTTTTTGAGGCACGGGGGTGAAATACCAACAACTTTCCCACTCCAGGCTGCTTTTGGGAATTTTTGGACGGATAAACTCAACAACAAATTAAGCTAAGGACCTCATGTTATCTTCACAATATTATATTTTAAACTTAATTGATAACATTTTTTAGTTACGATTACCAAAATGAATGTCAAAAGCTTACACAGATAAGTACTGAAGATGGTATTTCTGTTTAAGATGTATAGCTGTTACCCGTCGACATGAGCCTAGCCTAAAGATAAATACCGCAAGGCAGTTATCATTTGGAACGTAATGTGTTCTTCATTTAATCAAGCTATCTCATCAGATTTTACATTATTTTTAAATTCACTCTCTTGCATATGTGTGTAGCTTGAGCTTGGCAAATTTGTTACATATTTATAAACTATCTATCCGCCCCAGCTTCGCACGGTAGATTTCTGGATCGCGACTACAGCAGCCACCTACCGGGTCCAGTTGTGAATCTTAGCCAACCAGGTAACTTAGAAACCCGCTTAAATACATTCAAGAAATTTTATCAAATCGTTATAAAAATATATCTTTACTCGTTTTTAAGTTTTAGCGAGAGTTAAGGACACCAATCGATAACTGTATCAAGAGATATTATTATCTTTGATTATAAACAAATTTGTTTCTACAACAATCTTTAACCATTACCGTTACAGCCTACCAAAAATAAACTGCTGAACATAGTTTTCCCAACAGATTTCCTTCACAACGGTTGCCACGCTTGGTAGGTAGCTACCTCTATACTCCATGGTAGGGGGTTTGATAATCACAGCTTTGTTATTTGTAGATGATAGACCCTGCTACCTATATTCCGGTTTATTACTCTGTGTCGCTTCTTAACTGCAGGAACAAAATGGCGTTTATTTTTATAAAGAGATATTTAATCTAAGAGAATCACGTGTTGTGTTTACAACCGGAAATAGAGAATAAACTCTTGCGTTCGCTCCGAGTTATTTCTTTTACAGAAATAACGATAACAAATGAGCACACCATCCATTATTCTAAGAGACTACGTCTAACCAATGAGAACATTTTCGCGAGTTTTTTTTTTACAGAATCGAGGGTGATAAACGAGCACACAGCCCTCTTGACTGTAACTGAATGAAAAGAAATGAAAACTCTTTATTTAGACATTTATTTCGCCCCCTTATTTAGCCCACGTCTACGTCTATCCTCGATTAAGAATTAAAATTCCTATGAAGAATAAGATAGAATGTTCAAGAGACAACAAAAAAGAAGGATTTTTTTTAAATAGTTTTTTTAAATAAAGTCATTAAAGTCCTTCTGTAAACACTTCTCTCATAGATTTCCTCATAGGGAGTATATTTTCCATAGTTGCCACGCTTGGCGCACTAATTCGCAGCGCTGTCCGTCTCCTGCTATATAAACTATGTGGAACGCTTACTAATGTTGCGTGTCGCCCTTGCGCAGGTAAGACGCTCAACTTCTCTGTATCGTTCGAACTTTAGTATATTACTATAAGCAAGAACAAGCAAGAACCTATAACTCAATAAAATAATACAAAACTAACTGATCTCAGCCCAACAGTCTCGTATACAAAAAGCGATTTTAGAGCAGGTGTAAAGAGAAAAGTTTGTTTCTCGAATATATTGTTTTTGAAATATTGTCCGATTTGCACTGTGATGGATGCAATATTTTGTTTGTGATTATATTTTACGTTCCTTTTTCAAACCACAACGTTCCACGGTGGATTAGAGGTTAAGCAAGAAATTTCAAAGTGAAAATAAGCCGTATATTATAATTTATTTTGAAATTTCCTCGTTATAGTTGGAATATATTGTGTCAACAAAGTAGTTGCTTAATAATTTCGTATATTTACGCTAACACTCCACAACTAAAACTGTTTTTACGAATGCTATCTCATTTAATATTCTTATTTTTATTTACAAGAAATATATTAAAATCCAGCTGGTACCCGAAGCATTGCTGCCGAACAAGAAATAATTGAGAAAATGTCGTATTAAATTAGGAAGAGTTATATTGTTTCATGATCCTATGGATGATGATAACAGGACGAGACAAGGTCTCAATTGAAACGGACATAACTCAGAATTTATACAGGATAATAGAGTGGCTGAATGACAATAATCTTAAAATTAATTTGGATAAAACGCATATTATGTCATTCAAACAAAGAAAAAAACAACCAAAAATTAATATTAACTATAAAACTAAAATCATAAACGAAAAAGAACACACAAAATTTCTGGGAATTTGGCTGGACGAAAAAATGACATGGAGTAAACATATTGAACACATAATAAAAAAAGATAAATCAATTCCACTATGCACTACATAAACTTATAAAAATTACAAATCGTGAAACAGTCATAACCGCCTACCATGCATACGTCTCTTCAACATTGAGATATGGTATAATATTTTGGGGAAATTCTCCAAAACGCGAACTAGTATTTAAAGCGCAAAAGAAATGTTTACGAGCAGTATGTCAGTTGCAGGTTACCGATAGTTGCAAACCGCATTTCAGTGATCTTAATATTCTGACCCTACCATCTTTATATATATTTGAAGTAGCTATGTTTGTAAGGAAACATTTAGGCATATTTGAAAACGCTAATAATAAACGACATAGGAATAAACTACGCACAAAACCTCATAAAACAGCCCTGTATTCAAAAAGTTTCCTGGGTATGGCGCCTAAAATCAAAGAAACTGATAATATAGACAAATTTAAGAAATTGCTTTCGAGTTTTTTAATATATAAAGCATACTACTCTATCAACGAATACTTTGAAGATAAAATTAATGGTTTTTAGTACCTGCAATAATTAATGGACGATTTATATATTATAAGTTTATATTTATGTAATTGATAATTAAGATAATAATTAATGTTATTTCTAAGCATACTAATTATAATTGAAATTGTTATTTTATTAAAAATTAATTTTCATATTGCCAGGTTATAGTGCCAGTTTCATAGTGCCAGTGATAGTGATAAACAAATATTTGTATGCCTTTGTAGGCGAAACATAGTGTTACGTATCATACCTTTTCCACCAAGCTTGTAACTTTTTACCTATGTTTTACAAATAAATTATTTGATTTGATTTGATTTGATAATATATTCATGAAAATAATAATTACATTATCTATAATTATTTATAGATCATGTAATACTTATGGTAACCACTTAGGGTAATTTAACTGTACTATGCCTATAACCTTCGTGAAAATGCATGCAATAAGTTGACAAAGTTTTACTGCACTCTGATGAACAGCAGTGCATAAAATACAAACAAACATACATTAATTTTTACATTAAAAACTAGCGATCTACTCCGGCTTCGCACGGGTGATATTTGAATTCTACAAAACCTCATTTTCATTTAGCCCCTGCCACTACTCCTAGCGCTGCCGGCCATACTTCGCTAAATATGTATAGCCGTAGCAGGATCGAGGAGTGTATATTTACATTCTGCCCTACCACTCACATCACTTTCGACTTTTGACTATGGCAGACGTCGAAATAATTACAGCGTCCGCGCTGTCTTCTTGTAATACAAAATTATGTTAATAATTCAAAAAGATATCAAATTCAAAAGAAGAAAATTCGTCGTCGCAGAAGATGATGGATTATGGTTTTTATCGTTGAAATTCCATATAGTTTTTTATGATTCCAGCATTTCTAAAAACTTGATTGTATTTTCGTTACTCAACTCAAAAGGAATTTTGGCAGATCGTACTTATTTAAAAACAAGACGGCACGCACATCCATTCGTCCAGGCGCTTGGCGCTAAGTGAGCGATGGAGCAGAATGTGAACACTCACTGCCGCTCGCGCTGTCCGTCCTTTGACTTCCACACGAAAAACCGATAATCGAGGGAGCGTCGGGCAGCGGCAGCTGCATGGGCAGTGACAGCGCGAGTAGCCTATTTACATACTACCCTGCCCACTGCCCTGCTCACTTTCCTGCTCGCTTCCCTGCCCAGAAAGGCTGAATGCCTGGGGGACATGGGACAGAACAGTGCCACCTG